AATAATAATAATAATGATGATGATGATAATAATAATGATAAAAATAACGATAACATGAAAAATAACAATAATTAAAGAAACTGTTACACTAGACAATGAAAACAAAAACAAAAACACGTTCTTGACAAGAACTCTTCAGACTTTCGCTACTGTTAGACGCACATACCACAGCATAATAATCATATTATCATGTCATTCATTCAGAACTAAAGTGGGAGCGCCCCCAAACATGTTATAGGCTCACTTATTATTAATGGGGTGTTGTATATAGCAAAAATAATACAGATATACCGTCTCCTTCAAGATACATCCATTCATTCTCAGACTGCACACACTGATATGGCATTTATCTCAAGCTACGTTTTGTGCTTATATATAATTAACAAACTGTTATTATTGTGTTCAATGTCAATGGGAACGAGTGGAGAAGTAAGCAACAAACAATGGAAAGAATTCATATCATAGAATATGTACAAACACATGGACATTGACACACACAAGCATTTTTCGTAAAATACAAATCACATATTATTATTTTATAATGTGCCGCTCAGTTTGCAATCAAAATACATCTTCAAATGGTAAAGAAAACATTTGCAATGATAAGATCATATGACGTTAAAAAAGTCAACCAGAGACAATACTGCCGCTATGGAAAAGAAAGGAAACAAAAGATTCATTACATGGTTCATTACAGCAGTGGAAAAAGTCAGGTTAAAAGGTTTGTCGTACCACTTTGAAGTATTTCAAGAGTTAATTATGAAGGGGTAAGCTAGACATTCTTAAAACTTCAAGAAAATAGAAAAGACGTCTCGATAGACCAAAGAAGTTAAAGGAGAAAAAAATGTTTGAATGGTAATGCACGAAACAGAAATATATTAGAAAAATGCACGACAAACAAGCGTGAGATGTGGGAGAGATTCATGACAAAAGATCAAGTACAAAGCACGGCCGATGTGAGTAGAATCACGAGGCTTGGACAAACGACAGAATGACGAAAGACACATTTTGAAGAAAAAGAAGGGAGATTTTGACATGAACATTCCATGGCACTCAATTGTAATGGAACTATCCCTGACATTCATAGGAGTTGGGTTGGCTCATTTTGATCTGAAAATATGGACTCTATCAAAATGTTTAAGTATGATGACAATGGGGTGTAAAAAATGGATAGACTAGGGGATCAAATGAGGGATTGAGAAAGAGAGACGGAGAGAGAGAGAGAGAGAGAGAGAGAGAGAGAGAGAGAGAGAGAGAGAGAGAGAGAAGGGGGAGGGAGGGAAGGAGAGGGGGAGTGAGAAGAGAGCCAAAGGAGAGAAAAGGATACAGTGGAAAGGATAGGGAGCTAGAAAGACAATTAAAAAGGCATACACATTACACTAAAATAGACAGACAGACAGACAGCAAGCCAGACAGACAGCAAGCCAGCCAGCCAACCAGCCAGCCAGCCAGCCAGCCAGCCAGCCAGCCAGCCAGCCAGCCAGCCAGCCAGACAGACAGAGAGACAGATAGACAGGAAGGCAGGGTTAGTTATGTAGCAAGACGGACACTGAGCTTTAAGAACTTACTCTTAAATAAGTATGAAGGTTGGTACGGAGGTAAGTAAGTAGATAGTAGAAAGATAAACCTAGGGATTGTGAAGACCGAAACACTTAAAGGCAAAACACATCCCCAAACATTGTTTTCGCCAACCACACAAATTTGGCAAACATCTTCCATATTGAAGTGAAGACCCACAACGACAGCTAAGCGGCAAAAAACATTAACAGCAGCGGACATTTACTTAATGGACTTCACGCAAATCCGCGCAAGCCAATCGTTCTCAAGCATAATCCTGGGGACATTGACAGTTCGTTATGCCTGGTTCCAAGAACAGATAGCAACTGTTGAAAAGCGCTCCAAGCAGTCATTTTGATAATAGTGAGTGTATGGTACCCATAGTATAAAGCTATTTGTAAAAAGTAAATACTTTGACTATGATATAAAGAGCATGGAGCGTGCTGTCGAGTGGGGATATATGCGCTATACAAATGCTACGTATTATTAATTCTTTTTGACTAGAAACTGAAATAAAAGTTTGAGTTAACTGCGACATTTATGTGACGGCTAACAACCTGTGTTAGATTCCAGAACTTTGTAAAGCATTCAGACGTGTCTTTGGGTTTCCATTTGAAAAAACAGAACATCTTTCGACTGTTCTGAGAAAAAACAACCACCACACCGATCCTCTTCCCCTGCCTTAAAAAAGAGACTTCCGAGACCGTTGTAAACATCCATTAATCCTCAATGTAGTTCATGTTTTTAATTTTGTTCTTTATCAAAATCAGGATGCATTAATTTTTTTTCCATGACGTGCTGTGCTTGACTTTTGAAACGGCTAGTATTTTTTCAAGAACATGACATTTGTTGGAAAATTGTAACAATAAACGCTGTGAGCTTTGCGTAGAGTCTCTGAAAAAAAAAGACTAGAAAGCCTAAAACGAAATACATAATATAACTGCAAAGGCAGAAATCTTCGTCGCACTCTGTATAATAGACTAGCAGAAAATTGCAAATTGAAGATACCGTATAAACTCGCCAATAACAGAGCCTCAAGTATAGTATCGGGAATAATATACTTTGACTAAAAAATTGGCCCTTTTGTGGGTCGCCCGTACAATACGAGGTGAATTTCTGGCATGCTGGCCGGGGGTCAACATGGGGCAAATGTAGTACTGGTCTGCTTAAAGCTGGCGTCGTACACTTTGTTCTTTCTCCTCGGACTGGTCTCCATGATTTGAAATGCCGGTATGTGGGGGCAACCCCCCCCCCCCTCCGGGGACCAATGTTCAGAATTTTTAAAGGTATGGAAAATCCTACTCGCGGCATTACACGTAGCACTCCCCTGTTGGGACGGATCCCGCTGTATGTTGCGCATAAATAAGGTAGTACAGAGGGTATACTTTTTAACCTTATGTTTAAAGAATTGCTCGTATTATAGGCAAGTATATACGCTATTCAAACAAAGCCAAGTCAATATTTCATTTACAAGAATAACAATAGTTATCTCGACCCAACGCGTTTACAAAATTAAACGGCAAATTCGTCAAAGAATACGCTAAAAATAGTTTATATTTTATTAACAAAACCTTGTTAACTTCTAGGACAAGACCATGCATGCACGGGAACATGATCTCCACAATTTTAGCACTAGAAACAACAAGACCAACAACTATTGTACAATACAAGCATCATCAACGACTAGAACAATAAATTAAAATGCAGAATTCAAGAACAACAATAACAACAAAACATCCAGGAAACAAAATAATATGCATGATTTACCGACTTAAGGCAAGGCATTGCTTTGAAAGGAGACCCATGATTTCTTCCAATAGTTGAAACGCAATAAATGGAAAGAACACAATCGCTCAAGTGCTGTGAAAGTATGAATAAGAAACTATAGCCTTTCATAAGCCAAAGAAATGTGATGAAGTTCACTTTTGTTTTTTCGTCAAGGGAACAGAGTAAAACTATAATATTGAAATCCTTGAAGCTCAAATACGTTATTAATGTTTGCACAACAGATCACCAGACCCAGTCCCCCACTTCCCAAATAAAAAACCCAAGGACAACAATCCCCCCTCTCCCCACCCCACACTCACACACTCTCTCTTAACAAAATGATGAATTTCTGTAGTCCATCAAATTATGTCTCACTGGAATAATTCTATGACCTGTTCTTAACAGTGGAAATATTATTGATATAATTTAACGTTCTTTATAATCCAGCTGTCAAAACACCCCATGACCTAATATGGTCTGAAATGTTATCAGATATGTTAGGAAATCTCTTAACACTTGTCTGTTGTTGCTGTTAGATTAGTGAAATACTTCACTAAAAAGGACGTGTTTTATTCTGCTTTCAAATATTGTTAGTATCATGAAAGACAGGTAAATGTTGGAAAAGTAATTCTTGAAGTGGTCCTTTCCTTCGAATCCACTTCAAATGTTTTATTTGGACGTAAAATTGTAAGTGATCCGAAAGTTAGAACCACGAAAGCGTTTAGATTAAGATAATTAAAAGACAGAGGAAACAAAAACCCACAACACATCCTATTTCATTTGTTCAAGAGCAAAAGTTGCTAGCAGTGTGTCTGTTTCCTACTTCTTAAAGAATACAAAAATGTTTTTACTTTAACATTCTTATATTATACTTCACTCGTCTAAAATTATAACTATTGGTGTTGTGACTGTTTACAAGTGTAGAGGGGTCCCAGAAGACCGTGAGCCTGTAGTAAGTTGAAGGTGTTTCTCCTCACGCAGTCACAGACATGCCACGAGTATGTTTATTAAAACCATAATGTTATTAATCATACATTTTCATGCGTACATCCACACATCCACATGATACATGGACATAAAACAATTATAAACATAATATGTACAATCTCGCTCTCCCGTTTTTATTTTATCACACCGTCTCTCTCTCTCTCTCTCTCTCTCTCTCTCTCTCTCTCTCTCTCTCTCTATCTTCTCTCTCTCTTTCTCTCTCTCTATCTTCTCTCTCTCTCTCTCTCTCTCTCTCTCTCTCTCTCTCTCTCTCCTTCACTTGTTCTCTCACTCATTCACTCTCTCTCTCTTCTCTCTTCTTCTCTCGTTTACTCTTTCTATCTCACCACATTTTAGTTTGTGCCTGTGATGCTTTGTTCGTTCTTTTACCAAATTTTACCTCTGAGGCTTTCCTGTGGCCGCATTTCTCCACAGCCCCCGCCTCCCCTTTCCCCGCTCCCAACACCATCTTCACCACTGTTTCATTTGGATCTCGTTCATATTTTGATGTAATCCTCCACTACTCAGACACTCGCCATACGTATACCTCACACATTTTTACGTATAGCCCAAAGTCAAAACTTCCATTTACAACAACAAAATGTAGTACAGATGGACCGACCATTCTCAGTCCGGGCTGAGACCAAAGTAAAGAACTTTACTGCTCCAACTCCAAATCCTCGGCTGTTTTGTATGATTCTCCAATCCATGCCACGTAAGCAGGTACAACTACTTCGCACCATGATGCTACCTTAGTCGGCGCCGCTCCTCCAACAACGGCGTCACATCAGCAAAGCTCGGAGAGCATAAACACCACGACATCATGGCATGAGTCATCAAACACAAGAACAAGACAAAAGTGAAATCACAAGAGAAGCGTGAGCCAGAGTGGTGAGCGCCGTTGCTCCCAGTCTCTCTGATGACGTCAGCATCGATGACGTTGTTGGTCTGTGAGTTGGTGTACTTGGGGGACTTAGGGCTCTGGCTGGTGTTCGGGTGGCGGGTGTTGTGCTGCTGGGGGTTGTGCTGCGGTTTCTTGGGGTGAAGAGGTCGGAAGGTCACTTCGTCTTCGTCATTGTCATTTTTCCAGTTATTGTCGTGCTTAATATTACTCTCACTATCTTTGTTGTTGTTGTTATTGTTGTTGTCGTATCCGCCACCTTTTTCATCGCTGTGGCCAGCGGGTTGTATGCGGGGGCAGGTCATGGTATGTTCATTGCGGAGATACACCCGGATACCGAATATGTTGAACGCCGGGTTGAACATACAAGACGGCAGCATCGACTGGTCGAATATTGCCTGAAAGGAAAGAAATGAACAATATTAATAATATTTCATAGCCATGGTGACCCTCATGTATAATATCACTTGTTCTATTTTTTTTTAAGTTAGTAGATTTCCTTCATTGCACTTTGGAAAGGATTCGGCGTGTTTGATGTGTGTGTGTGTGTGTGTGTGTGTGTGTGTGTGTGTGTGTGTAAATGGAGGGCGGGTGGGATGGAGTGGAGGGAAATACTAACTGATTAACTTCTTAAATAATTATGTGTTTGTTAAAATATATTCATAATCATCATCACTATTCTCATCTTTACCATCATCATAACCACCCCACCACCTTCTCCTTCTCATTCCCCTTCCCTTTATCATGTTCATCATCATAATCTTTATCCTATCCACAACCAACAACCACCACTACCATCACCATCACCAACTCAATCATAATCACACCATAATCACAACATCATCACCTCCACCACCAGCACTTCCACCTTCACAACAACAACAACAACAACAACAACAACAGCAACAACAGCAGCACCAGCATCCTATCTGCCACCACCAAACCCACCACCACCACCACCAATACAACAACAACAACAACATATTATCAAACAACCCATCACTAACACACAATAATCAGCACAACCATAATCACACTACCATCATCACCAATACAATCACCATCACCAACACTAACACAACAGTTACCACAACCACCACAATCACCACCACAATCACCACCACAATCACCACCACAATCACCACCACAATCACCACCACAATCACCACCACCCACCGGGTAGAACTGCCAAGAGTATTTGAACCACTTGACGGGTGTTCGCGAGGACTCTGAGGGCGGAATCCCCTGGAAGAGCCAACCGAACCCGCCCAGCTGTCCCTCATCGTTGTACATCAGGAACACCGGGTACAGCTTCTCGCACGCCAGGTCGCGGGTCAAGTTCTTGAAGTAGTGACGACCTGCCGGGCAGAATAAAACATAGGAAAAGTCAGAAAAATAAAGAGTCTATTTCACGATTTGCTTTAAAAAAAACAAACAAAAAAAAACACACACAAGAAAAAATACAACTTTCAGTATGACGAAGCAGGGTAGGGAAGACTACACGACATATTATTTAAATGGAATATTATTGTCTGGATGACTTCAAATAAGGGGTACGGCCTATACAAATCACCCAATGCTTTTCAGTCAAATTCACACAGAAATACGTTTTAAAATGGATAGATAATAAAATAAAATAAATTAATTAATAATACTACTTTAAAAATTACCCAACGGGCGGAAAAAAGTGGGTTTCTTCGGTTCCATTATTTTGACGAGGAAAAAACACCGAATCTACTCTAAACCATCATCCAGGTACCCCGTCTCACAAACAAGCACGTACCCATGCTAGGCAGACAAGTTCCAGTCTTCCAGTCTGAGGACAGGTGGCGAGAGTCGAGCGGGATCTTCTCGTACTGTCTCTCCACCCGGTACCCCATCTGGATGTACAGGCCTTTCCCCGGGTGGGCGTGTTGCGTGTACGGGCTGCAGATAAGGCTGGGGTGTTTGAAGTACGCTGCAGACACGGTCACATTGGGAACAAAAGAAATATAAATGTTAGTTTAATAACTGCAACAAACATCAATGACAGTAATAATGATAGTAAAGATAATAATGATAATGATAATAATAATAACAATAAAAGTAACAACAACAACAACAACAATAACAACAGCAATAGCAGCAGCAACAACAACAACAACAACAACAACAACAACAACAACGACTACTACTACTACTACTACTACTACTACTACTACTACTACTACTACTACTACTACTACTACTACTACTACTACTACTT